GCATGTGTGGCAAAGAAAATTGCATCCTTTGTGAGCCAGGAAGCAGAGAAAGAGACTGACTGGTGGGCTTTCACAATTCTTTGAAGGCAATCCCCCATGATCAAGAACCCTACACCCCGTAGGACTCCACATCCCAGTAGCACTACTCTGAGGACCCAGCCTTCAGCACTATCCACAAGCTATCAAAAAGAAAGACAGATGAATCAAAAGAAAGACAGATGAATCAAAAGCAGATTTACCAGGACACCCATGAAATTTAAGCTCCAGGACCTCTCAGTTCATCAGAGCCTGTTCCAAAGCCTGGGAGGTGCTCATATTCATATTCATATATGTAACTGCATATTCATATATGTAATTCAATAGTCATACATGCAATTTTATATTATTTTATTCAAGGTGAGGTTCCTTGCATTGTTTGCACACCAGGGCCACAAATTCTATATCTTTCTATAGATTCTATATCTTTCTATATAGGCCTACTACAATTTCCAGATCAGCAATGGTACCTCTATTGGAAGAAAAACAATGCCTAGTTTGTGACAGGAAAGCAATTCTTGGTAACTGCACTGTGTGAAACTTTAGCAGTTTGGTTAGTGATTGCCTCCTGATTGGCAGCACATATTTAGGACCAGGAAATCTCAAAGACATTCTAATCATGAGTGCAAGGAAAAGTCTTTTGTTAGACCAAGACTAAATCAACGAAGTGTAATCAGGAGCCCATCCATCACATGCTTCGCTAAGGAGTATAGGTAGCCAGAAAAGCAGGACTAAGCCTGGGAAATATTCAGAAGAAGCTACATGCTGACTTGTACAGACTGATATCACATCCCCAAGGTCAGTTGGGAAAATAAAAAAAACTCTTTACTCTAAAAAATAAAATGAAATAACAACAATATCCAATAACTTAGAACACCATTGTCCTATAAACATATAAGCAGATAAAAGTTCTTCTGATTTCTGCTCTGAATCTACTCTATTGTGGAAATGATTATCTATTTACTGGAATTCGTTGATTCATTCAGAAAATGTTTACCAATCATTTATTATTTGTACAAACCTATTCTGGTTATGGAATGCAGCATTACATAAATAGGAAAAAGTTCCTGCTCCTATAGAGTTTATACAGAAATAGAAAATGAGAAAGATAAACTAGCAATGAATATTATGTCAAACAATGGTAAGTATCGAGTGGAAAGATAGAGAGCTTAATAAATGATAGATGACAAATGCTGCTGTTGCTGACAGATAGATAGATAGATAGATAGATAGATAGATAGATAGATAGATAGATAGATAGATAGATAGATAGATAGATAGATAGATAGCACTTAAATTAATGAAGAGGAACAAGATTTTTGTTCTCAAAATGGGAGAGGTAGTCATAGGGAAGCAAAGTAGGTATGATGTAGAAAAGAATGGCTCAGTTTTGGAGAGTGCAGATTCTATGTACTAAAATATAACAGTGAATAAAAAACAGGGAAAAAATACCCTCAGCCTTTCCCATTCTGTGCAGAATTAGACAGACTGAATTCCTGGCAGCAGAGCAGGTAATTCTGAGCAGATAAACAAATAAACAGAGCTGCTGTCCACAAATACAACCAGTTTTTCTGACTTCAGGATCAGTCAGGAGCCTCCAGGCCAACTTCCTTGTAAACAAAATGTGCTGTCTATTTACTCTGCTGTGAAATTTGAAATTTCTTTTACTGCTATAAGAAAGGTTTCCAAGGTACAGTTAAAGATAAATAGTTTATCATGCAAATGTCTAAGTGTATGTTTGAGCATGCACTCCATATAGTGCCAGTTACAACCCAGGTGGCCAGACTCCTGTGTATATGATATAAGAGGGCTGGAGGGCCAACGGGGGAGAATATGAAAACAGGAGAAACCTTCAGAAGAGCCTAAACCATGGAAACCCATTCTGCAGTTCCTTTAGTTTGACCAGAAAGTTCCATACTTCTTACAATGGATCAAGACGTAACAGAGGTGAGCCACGATGTGTGTCAAGCCAACAAAGAGCAAGCCTACAGAGGTGCCAAAGGCATCAGAGTTTACTTTACACAAGCTCTCCTCTTGCTTGCCTTTGCAACCCACCAGGTTCTAGGGTGAATTCAAGTCAGCAATTGATCCAGAGAACAAATGAAAAGAGTGTTTGGGGAGTTCACTGCTATGTAGCACTTTCTTCCTTGGAATACCTGTCAGGCTTCTAGTTCTAGCTCTTTCCTAGGCAATGCCATGCTCACCTTGAGCAGTCACAAAGGGCAAGTCATATTCCTAGCGCTTCCCTTTTTGTCCATTTCTTGGAGTTTATTTTGATAAACATCATTTTTAATAAGTTTTTTATTGTGAGAATACTGTACAGAAGAGGGGTTACAGTTACATGAGTAAGGTAATGAGTACATTTCTTATCAAGCATTGTTGCCTCCTCCTTTGTTTTTCCCCTACCATCCCTTCCCTCCTATCTCTACAGCTATACTCCACTTCCCCCTCCCCCACCTAAATCGATATAGGGTCTTGTACATCCTATTGTTGTAATGGGTCAACCTGTATCCCTGTTTAAACAATTTGCAAAATGAACCCCAAGATAAGGATACAAGTGTTCTTTTTTCTTGCTGTTGCTTCTAACGTATTTATAAGGTACCATATGATTTTTTGTTGTCTTGTATGTCCCTCCCCCATGGTATAACCCCTGTTTTCACTATTTGAGATGTTGGCATAATCTGGGGAGGGGAAGCGAAAAAACAAATTGTTTAAATAGGAATACAGGATGACCCATTGAAACAATGAGACGTAGCACTTCCTTCCCTTTTTATGCTCTGATTCTGCTTTCCTCAGTGACCATTCAAATAGAGCTGTTCTGCCTCTTTCTCCCAGGAAGATGGAATCCCTCTTGGTGCCAGTTCTTCTGAGTAGATAAATACACTGGTCCTTACTCTTTTCATAGAATCTCATCCATGGGCAACTCACTACCTTCCCAGCAGGGCCATGGTCATAGTCAAGTTCAATTCCTTACTAGCTTTACTTCTAAATCGAGTCACATGATTCCAGACAGTGTGATAAACATCACCACCATTGTAGTGATAGCTGTCTGTTCACCAGGGATTCCTGATGCCCTGCACTGAGCCATGCCAGCTGAGTTCCTTTAGCAAGTTCAGGCATCTCCCTCCTTCAGACAGCCTGGCCAGCAGGCTCATTGGAAAGCATCTACCTAAGATCATTCCATCAGAGAAGAAAGACTAAATGCAGCAGAAGTAACAGGTATTCCCAAAGTGAAGACTTAGTTGTTTTTGCTGCTTTTTCTTTTAAGTACTAACATGCTTGGACAAGCCAAAAATCAAAGTGCATCTTCACCACCATCTCATGTAAAAGAGATGCTTTCTTATTTAGGCTCCAACAACTGGGGAAATAGGCTTATCATGTGTTAATTTTTTAACTACTTTTCCTCACAAACACTACCTAAATTAGAAAACCTTGTAAACATGAATTTACATTTCCAAATACACTTTTTTCCCCCAAAGACAAGACCAGGAAGACAGGAAAAGTTATTTTAAAACCACAATTGATGATTAAATTTGCCAAAAACATAGTAAAGGATCCCTTCCTTTTCAATGCAGATGTTTATTCCTAGAGAATGCAATGATACATGAAGCCAACTGGATTTACAAAATAAAGACACTTCAGATGGCCCTATATTGTGCTGACGGAAATTTAGGGGAGGATTTGGAGGATTTGAAGAATATTTGGGACAAAGAACACCCCTAACAAAGTATTGTGGCAAAACAGTTAAGTAGAATATGATAAATTTACAAGTTTTCCACCTAGATAACTAAAATAATACAATGAATATGCAAGTATATGCTCATTGTGAAAAATCTCCCTTCCCCAATTTAGAAGCCACATAAGACTATCTACTAGTATTTTGTAAGTAAAAGTTCATAGATCTTAGAAAAGAACTCCTTTGTGGTAAGTGACAATAGCTACTGAACAAAAGACACTGCTTCTCATGGTTTTACACAGCATGACTGGAAGCCATCATTTAGAAGCAGACACGGCAACAGGTCTACTGAAACCAATTACAGATTTGTTTCAACATAATGTGTTTCCTTGCCTCGGAGAGAAGAGGACAGAGACAATGAACATAATTTCCACCTATTAAAGCACTCTGCTTTTATGTTAAGCACTTCTTTCTACTGAATGTGGACTGTCAGTAACTCAGAAGGAATTATGGAGCTAGTGGAAATGAAGAGAAGCAGCCGGAACAAAGGCTGCCCACCCCACACCCTCCCTTGCACATGCTTTCAGCTCCCGACTCAATTAAAATGGAAACATGTTCTTAGCCAGTTGACTGACAAGGCTGAAGAACATCATAAACCACACAGGAGAAGTAACCTGATACAGATACAGAATTTCGCAGAAGTAGAACCTATAGACTATTTGTGTGACTCACCATCGAGGATGCTCGCTTATTTATTTTTTTGTATGTGTATGTTTATAAGATACAATTTGATATTTCCAGAGATGCATCCATTGTAGAACGATTGGCCAAAGTGACAACCCATCTATCACACATCTTTTGTGTGGGGAGGACATTTGCAATCTACGTCTCTCAGCGGTTTTCAACCACAGAATACACTATTAACCCTCATCACCATACTGTACAACAGATCTTCAGAACATAGTCTTCTTGTCTGAGACTTTTCATCATCCCAGCTCCCAGTAACTATTGCTCTACTCTCTACTTGTATGCATTCAACTTTTTGAGTTTACAAATATAGCTGAGATCCAGCAGTATTTATCTATGTTGTCTGATTTCATTTAACATAATGTCATCAAGGTTTGTTGATGATGTTGCAAAAGACAGAACTTCTGAAGGTGCTTATTTGAAAGTGAGGTAGATACATTGATTCAGAAAGGAGCGAGGAAGCTCCAAAAGTCATCAGACCCTGGCAGTCAGGAGTCAGTGGTGTAGGACAGTTGGCCCATATGTCTCCTGGTGGACTTACCTGGTGGACTCCCATGTCCTGCTGCAGCTGTGGCAATGGCAAAAGCAGAAGCTGGTGAGACAGAGCAGTGGGCATTGTCAGCTACCTGTCCTGGTTAGCGAAAAGAGAAGGGAAGTAGAATGGTGAGGCACACAGATGCACTCCATAATAAAATTCTCATTTCAGTCTCTACATTGGCTTTGGATGAAGTTTGGCTATATACCCCGTTAATAGGAAAACAAAAGGTTGTACATCAACAATCCTACTTCATGTCCACCCAAAAACTTGTATGTAAATACTCATGGCAGCATTATTCACTAAAGCCTAAAAAGAAAAACATGTCCCCACAAAAACTTGTATATGGATATTTATAGCACCATTATTCACTTTAGCCAAAAGATAGAAACATCACTTCCTATCAACTGATAAACAAAAAAAGACAAACAAAATAGACAAACACAAAAAGAGAGAGAATAAGGTTCACCCAAACAAGGATTAAAGTTCTGGGTTCTATAAGACAGAAGCCAATCCTAATAGGTGCCATATTTCATAGCTTCCTTTACATTCAATGTCCAAAATAGGTGAGTTCATTTAGAAACTAGGTTCATGGTTGCCAGGACTCAAGGAAAATAAGAATGAGGCATCTATGCGTTTAGGTAAAGAATTTTAGGGGGAAGAGATGATTAAAACATTATAGAATTAAACAGAGCTAAGGCTGCCTGGCCTCGTGACTATGTAAAATATACTAAGCTGCATACTTTAAAAGGCAGATTTTTTAAAAGCCAGTACCAAGGGCTTATGTCTGTAATTCTAGTTACTCAGATAATTGGGGCTTAAAAGAAACCTAGGCAGAAAAGCCCATAAGAATCCATGTCCAGAATAACCAAGAAAAATCTGGTCTAGAGGTATGGTTAAAGTGGTATAGTATCAGCAAGTGAGCAAGTCAAGGGAGATGATGAGGGCCTGAGTTCACACCCCAGAACCAGAAAAAAAAGGAAAGGAGAAGGAGAATCTTATGGCATGTGAACTGTTTCTCAATATCAATATTTTGTAAAAGATTCTACATCATGTTATAATGGATTTTCCTTTTTCTCAAGCATCTTTAGGGTGTCTCTCAGTAGTGTAACACTTGCCTAAAGACCTTGGATTGGATTTCCAGTACAAAAAAAAAAGAGACAATAAAAAGGCTTACCTTCGACATGGCCCTTCTAAAATCAAAAGGATACAACAAGCACCCTTGGCAGTCCCTTTCATTCAGAGAATGCTTTGCATGCAATATTTGGAAATGCTGGTGCCAATGTCAGTGCCCCTGCCCCTCAGGTCTCAGTAAAACTGTGTACTATAGTTCTGACCTAAGGGGTTTTTATTAGTTTGCTCCCAAAATTATCGTCTTTAAGTAATAAATAAGTAAACAAACAAGAAAAAGGCAAATAATAATAATAATAGACAAGCAAAAAAAAACTATTCCAGTATGAAAGCAGGTGATAAGCAGACAGATAAATGGGCAAAATATTGGCTAAGCAGTGAGAAAAAAATAATATTGTGTCCTTTTCCAGATCTTCCATTTCATCCCTGACTCCAACCTTCTTCCTGTGTTCCTACGTCTATATGAATTCGTCGCTTGAGAAAAGATACAAAGGACTTGGTTAACCTGCAAACGAGCACTTCCAAATAATCCTTATAGAAACTAAAATCTTTATGTGCAAGTCTAAACATGAAAAGAGAATCTAAGATAGGGCTCTAGTAATAGTTAAAAAAAAAAAAGAAGTAAATACATAAAAGGCAGAATGGTTTCCAAGAGTAGACTCTTGTTTCCATTGCCTTTTTCCCCTAAGCTCTTCTAGGAGGCAATGAACTCAAGAGGGTCCACTGTGACAATAGTCAAATGTCTAAGCCCTGTGCTGACATAGGCTCTATTTGGCTAATTCCCTAGTAGTCCTATGGTTAGCCAGGAAAGCCAAGCTTGTCACCTTCCTTTACCAGAACCAGCCAAATGGCAGGGTGCTCCACAACTGAGCAGGTACTTGAAATCCCTGAAGGTTAGTATCTACCAAAATGAACACTGATAATGGCCTAACCCAGACTCTTCTAGCCGCTTTCAGAGCAAAGGGCAAATGATAACAGCCTCTATGGAGTGGCTGGGACACAAATGATAAGACAATTTGGAGTTGTGCACTTTATATCTGTTGACAAAATGCTCTACTTGAAGCATGAATATGAGAGTCAAAATGCCTTCACTTGGGTTACTTGGGGTGAAACTCATTTCATAACTGCAGAACTTTCTTTTCTGACTTGAAATAATTGTCTTGAGGAGAAAAAAATAGAAAATGTCTCAAAACCACCATGATTTGGATAAATTTATTAAAACATAAGGATAGAAAACGGGAAGATAAAACTGATTGTGTTTTCATGTGTTGTATCTCAAGACAATTTATGAAATCATTCTCCCCAATTTTTATAACCACGTATCAAGAAAATATATCAGTGTCTTCCACTAGCAGTAATGATAGGCTCTCAGGCTATTTGGATTTTATTTTAGATTTTTTTTTTTAGAAAGCATTACAAATAAGTACCCTCCACCCATCTGTGGTGTCTGGGTGAGCCTAATCATGAAGAGCTCACTGGGACTCTTAAGGCTCTAGAATCTGGCAACATTTAGGTTAAGTCAGCACTGAGATTCTTTCACTAATGAACTAGGACAGGCTCTTACTCAATGTTCTTCAGCACCAAATGCAATGCAAAGATCAAACATCAGTCCAGCTGATGAGATATTCATTTATTCTCTCATCATTTGTTTTTCCACTCCTTGGTCTTATGTAATGTTATTTGCTTCCAATTAATTTTTACAACTGGGGAGTAAACAGTAAAACAAAGATGTTGAAGCTAGTAATCACTCTTTTCTTTCTGAATTATTTTCTGATTTCTCACCTCCAGGCTGGCGGTAGCGGAGGTGCCGGGGAGTTGAGGGAGATCGGCAAGGTGAGTGTTCAGTGGCTTCTGTTGCTGGGGAGCCTTCCACTCCTGCTCGATCTGATGGTGTGGACTCCAGCACTGTGGCTGGAAAACAGCAGGGATGTTAGCCATCAGCCTCAAATCCAAGAGTTCCTTGTCAATCTCATGCCCAGCAATGGAAGTTTGTTAAGGATAAGCATGTCAGTAGTCTACATGTTTAAGGATCTTTAATATGATAACAAGTCCTATCTCAGCAGAATACTAATGAGACTAACCCTACATATGATCTTCTCCATCTATGACTGGAATCTGTTGACATCATTGAGCCTGGCTGATCTTGGATGACCTTGGCTTGCTCCTTCTGTCCACTACAACAGCACGTGTTAAATGAACAGGGGCTATGCAGTGATCTCCTGCCTCAAGAATTCTTTGACTTTCTCAGAGTCTCAAAAGAGGACTTTTCTCAGGTTACCAGTGACATTGAGATCAAGATGAAGACTTTGCTACTGCTCTGCTTGGGCTTTCCCCTTAGGGCAAGCAACATTTTAATCTGTTAATGTACCCCTATGTCAGGAAGCTTGGGGAGCTCTTCAGGATCTGATCTCTTCAGGTCAGCTGCACTGACCAAAATGGAAGCACTAATCATATTTATATTAGCACTAGCTAACGATGCCCTAGGACACTAGGACAGCATTATCTGATTTATATTGACTATAGTTAAAGTTATTTCAGTTCACTACTTGTACTAGCCACATTTCAATGCTCAGTGTCCCCTGTTAGGGACTATAGCATGGGACAGCTCAGGCATAGAGCATTTCCATCCCCTCATCAAGTTCTCACAGGTAACTCTGAGCTCCAACTACAGATAACAAGAAGCACGAGGAAATTTGTTTTCAGGAATTGTCGAGTGGGTTCAACGAGAGTCCTGCTGCTGTTGCTAATCTCTGAAGAACAAAAGAACATCTTTCTGGGATCATCCATCTAGGCTGCTGTTTATCTAGGCCACTGGTTTATTCAACAAGTAAAAGTGTAAGTTGGTGTATGCCTCTTGAAAGAAAAATATTATTAAAAATTAACAAATACTCAATTAAAAAGCTAATTTTACATGAGTTTTACATTACCTTGGTCAGCTGAACAACTTCCCTTTTTATCCATTCAAAATTTTAGTCAACAAAGTTTACGAAGTCTATAATGACTTCATATAAAACCATTTTTACACTTGCATGTTATTGGCTGCCTTAGAAATATGGCTACAATTTCAATCTTCTGAGACTCAAAAGGGCTAGGGAAGGAAAATGGTTAGGATCTTTTCTTGAATGACATAATTACAGTAAAACTGGCAGTGATGCAAGATGCAGACAAAAAAATCAGTGCTTAGCTGTTTGTTTTATTATTTTCTAAATAGCTCCTTCAAAAATCTGTAATGGAAGGCATCTGCTGTATAAGAGCAAGCTGAATATCAAATGCATGTCCTCCATCTGATTCAACCATTCTTTCATTCATACATCTGAGTCAAAAGAGAAAATCTTTAGTCAGCAACATGGTAAGCCCCCAAACCTTTCCCAATGAGAAAACTGGACAGGACTTTAATGTCCCCCGTGATCAGGGGAACAAAGAATTATAGGTAAGCTACCAGGCACCTACAGGGAGAAGAAAGCATGCCAACATGGTGAAGTGGAGGTGGTATTTCCTTCTGGTGTGTTCTCTTTCAATCAAGCCCTATGCAAACAGCTTTGCTGGCAGGACGAGTGGGCAGATGTGGGCACAAAACAAATGCTAAAATCGGGAGCATTTTCAGCCCACAGGCAGGCAATTTTCAAACTAAGAACACAGAAACAGATACTGGTGCTGTGGGCTGTGCAGACACAGTTAGGCAGCTAAGTTGTGCAGCCATGAACACTGATGGAATCAGAGCTCCAGTAAAGCGAGTGGTCCTTAAGTTCTTTCTTGTTTGCCACTGGCTTGGTTTTCAATGAAAACCTGTCACTGTGAGGAAACTGAGTCAGGCTATCATGTTTTGTAAAAACACTTCGAATAGAAGAAGGTAGGAACTGTCTGGTCTTGGGAAGGGACGCTACTGTTGGGAGAGCCAGAGCAAATCTGGAGACTAGGTTGAGAGGACATTCAGTTGTGTAATATTTTCCCCTTTAAAAAATCCATTGTGAAGTTCACACAATGAGGGATGTTTCCTATATCTCACCTTCCCTTCACTCTACTTGAATTTCTCCTGCCAGAAAAACTTGCTAAACTGGCATTTCTCATTACAGTGACAGTAAAACTGAACAAAGGTCATTAGCACTTTTCAAAGAGCATGCTCTGATACTGGCTATGTGGAGAGCAGAGACACAGAGAGAGAGAGAGAGAGAGAGAGAGAGAGAGAGAGAGAGAGAGAGGTGGGGAGGAAGGGATAGAGAGAGAGAGGGAGAAAGAGAGAAAGAGAGACCTTTGGCCTTGGTATGGATGTCATGAACAAAACTGATATCATACGAGCAGATTGGGTGTGGTGGTGTCCTGAAGTGAAAAGCAGAAAATGCATAAACTCTTGGCATAAGAGTCTTATTCAAGTTTGCCAACTGTTTTAACTGCTAATATTATGCAAAGCATGTGCAAACATCATTTAAATTAAAGACAGATCAGCATCTCCTTGTTCTCTGCCAACTTGAATTTTGAAGACTATATAGTATGGTTAACAGAACAGCACTGTTGGCCTCCACAGACACTACATGCACACACCCATGCACACACACATATGGAAGTATATACATACATACATGCATACACTAGCACACTGACCTTTTAGACACCAGAAGTATTCATCTATCACTTCCCTAAAGCTAATCACAACCAGTATTATATCTACATACAACTGCAGAATAAAAGAAAATACTAAGCCTATGATTCCTCTGTTTTATCTGTTCACATAAATGCCAGAGAACTGCTGTAACCCAAGTCTTAATTCTAAGCTTTTATTCACAGGGTTTTCTTTATCGAGTCTCAAACAAGCCAAAAACAATGGCCCTCTACAGCTAACATATTCCTAGTTTTCAGTATAAATCACAAAACTGATTGTATCGCTGTCTTGGTTATCCGGGAAATTCAGTTACAAGGTAGATGAATGAAGGGAGGAATTGGGTGCAGAACATACTCACATTTTTCAGTGTCTATTCTATAAAATTAAAAACGGAGGAGAGGAGTTGGGTTGAAAGGAAAGGAGAGAGATGAAAGGGGTGACGTCAATCAAGATGCACTGTGTTCATAAATTGATTTGTTGAATGGTAACTCTTTTGTGCAACTACTTAAAGATAATAAGAATACAATTTTAAAAATTTTAAATTTTAAATTTTAAAAATTTTAAAAAGTTATGAGGAGTCTAGGGTAGTTGTTCACTAACCTCACCCCTCTCCGAACATATCTTTCCTCCCTTGTTTTGCATTGCCTGATTTCCTCGTGTATTTTATTTTTAGTTACAGATATACCACGTGTCTCTTTGCGCTATACCTGAAACATTTTTAAGATTAAGATAGGAAATAAATACATTATTTTTTCTAAGGAAGGGCCTGGTGTAGTGGCACACATCTATACATCTAGCTACTCAGGAGGCAGCAAGATGGATGATCATGGCTTCAAGCTAGCTCAAGAAAAAAGTTAGCAAGACCTCATCTCAACAATCCCAAACCAGACAAGCTGGTGTCCAGAGTAGAACCTCCCTTCCTACCCAATGAGTTAATGTAGAGCATATAACTACAATGAGCAATGGGCAGATGACTGAGAATCTCTCAAGAGTTTTGTAAAGTGTTTAGATTGTAACAAAGGAATATATTTTGTTTTTCTTTTCTTCTTACACTAAAAAAATTTCAACTATTTAGGAGGCAGAGATCAAGGTCATTCCAAACAACAAAGTCTTTAGCAAGATTCTATCTCAACAAACAAACTGGATGGTGTACATATCCTGAAATCACTGGGAGGCAGAGGGGAAGGGTAGTATGAATCCCAGCATAGGAAAAGAAAATAAACTATCTGAAAAAAATATCTATGTTTAAAAGGGGCTGAGGATGTGTCTTAAATGGTAGAGCATTTGTCTAGCAAGCTCAAACGCAATAATGCCCCTCCCAATTCATATCTATATCCTTTGAATAGCCAAAGTAAAAGGAAACCTCTAAAAATGGAGGGAAAAAAGTAAAGATTACCACTTCACATCCACTAGAATGACTGTTATAGAACATTAACACACACACTAAGTTCTAGTGAGCATGTGGTCTATTGGGGAGATGGAATGCCAATGAGGTTCTTCCCACTTGTAGACATCTATCTATCTATGTATCTATCTATGTATCTATCTATCTATCTATCTATCAGAGAGCTAGTTGCAATTTTATATTCACTGCAGCATTATTTACCATCACCAAGAGATGGAAGTGACAGAAGAGTCCATGGAAAGATAAACACATGTAGAAAATATACCCACAATGGAATATTCAGTCTTTAAGGCAAAGGATTCCCTATTGCATATTATCTCGTGATGAGATGTCAACATACTTTACTGAGTAAGCAAGCCAGTGAGAAAAGGATAAATACCATGGATTCCACTTACATGAAGAACTTAATATAGTCAGACTCACATAAACAGAAAGTGAAACAGTAGTTGTTGGTTGGGGTTGGAGAGCAAGAAAAAAGGTATTGTTTAACAGGCATAGCTTTTTTTGCAAGGTGAATGTATTGGAGATATTGTTTTGAATGCACTTAACTAAGGAACTAGTTATCTTTTACTTTTCTTATTTTGCCACTACAGAGACAGGAATTCGGTTCCTTGTGGTCTCACTCGTCTTGCTTGTTCAGCCACTCCTCCAGCTTAGATTTTTTTGCTGGCTAATTGGAGATGGGTCTTTGGGGTCTTTCCTGCCCTGGTTGCCTTTGAAGGAGATCCTCTGGGTCTCAGCTCTCTGAGTAGCGAGGATGATAGCTCAGTAGCTATCTTAACTTAAAAATCAGTAAGTAGTAAATAGAACAAAGAGAAGAGCAAGTGGAACAAAGTTGGGTGTATATTTGTTGTTTCACCCTAGAAATCCCTAGGAAGCATGGTAACAAGGTCTGTTCAACAGAGCTGCCACTCACTTCAACCCAGTTCAAAAGCTCCCCTTCAGGAGTAGCTCTCTTAAATGTCAGTTACCTGTGGGAACTACCCCAGCCCTTTGTTCATGCATCACTCTCCTTGACCAGAACTGGGCCTAGCTCCTCTCTCGTGCTCATAGGCCTATTCTTGACTTGTGCTTCTGCTCATAGGTGTGGTTTCCCCTGTTTTCCAGATTCCAGCTACCCCTCTGGTAACCACTGGGCTTATTTTATTCACAGAACTGGAGTAGGAAAGGATGTCACCCTATTCACTGTGGCCAGGGTTATAGCTCTGGAGTACACAGAGATGCCCCCATGGATGCCTGAACAGAGCTGACCATGGTTATGGCCATAGTCGCTCTCAACCCCAAGAGCAAGCAAGCAGAGCTCCATGCATATTTAGCTCTGACATTGAAGTGCTTGTTTCTGAAGCTCTCCTGCCTCGAAAGAACACAAAAATCCAGACTCATCTCCAGATTCTTCCTATTTAGCATAATCCAATAGAGAAATGGAAAGACCTTCCCATGCCTTAGAACACTTCCCAAATATCCCAGGATGCTGGGCCCAGGAAGGGCAGAGGGAGCTAGTTGTCTGTCACGCTGTACAGGCACCCAAGTGCTGGCTGGAACCTCACATCACTGTCAGCTCCATGCTGCTCCTTCTGAGAAGAATCCATCAGTACTTCACTGGAGCTTGTTGTTCTAATGACTTTTTAATTATCTTCCCCCTTTCCTCCTCCTTAGTTGCTAACTTGTCAATTTAAAGAATTTCTCATCTTTTTTTTTTAAAAAAAGATGCTATTTTTGATGATGACAACCCTTCCAGTTAAAATTCCATTAAGTATTTTATGCAGTAAACTCATTAAAGTGAACTGAAAGAGACAGCACATAGAAGCTTCAAGAAGACAGAAAACAAAGCTTGAATTTTCATCTGAGTGATGAGCCTTAAAATTCAAACACGTGGATCTGTTGCACCATTTTTACAGTACCAATAAACAAGTCCACTATGAAATACTGGGGTAAAAAGCTCTTTGTCAATTTGGTTGAGATTTTACAAGCATAATGAATTGCCCACATTGAAACAAATAGAACAATGAGATGTACCAGAGGAATCTCTATTAGTGCACCGAGTGTTTCATTTCTTTCATTCATTTAACAATTTTTTTTATTGTTTTGTTCTTTGTTTTGTTGGTACTGTGGTTTACATTCAGGACCTTGTGCTTGGTATACAAGCACTTTACCACCTGATCCAGGTCTCCAGTCCTTTTTGCTTTAGTTATTTTTCAAATAAGATCTCAGGTATTTGGGTGAGTCTGGCATAAACTATGATCCTTCTGGCTAAGCCTTCATATACCTGGGACCACAGACATGAACCATCATTCTTGGCTTGTTTGTTGATAAAAGATCTGGCTAGCTTTTTTTTAACCTGGGCTGACCTCAAGCATGATCCTCTAAATTTTCCCCTCCCAAGTAGATGGGATTGATTACAGGTGTGAGCCACTGCCCCAGATCATTTAACAAAAATTTACTTCCTACAAGGTACTGTTCAAGGTACTACTTATACAGATGTGCATAAGATAGACAAGGCCACTGACCTCTGGGAGCTGGCTTCAGAAAAGCTGTCCAGGCCGAAAGAACAAGGGCAAAGGTTTTAAGCCAGGGAGAGCCAAGGTGTTTCTGGGTCACAAACTAAAATTAATAGGACTGTAGTACAGTAGATAGGGAATATGGCAAATGCAAGCCTAGAAGAATGAGAGGGAGGGAGGGAAGAGGGAGAGAGGGAAGGGGGGAGAGGGAGAAAGAGAGAGAGGAGAGAAGAAGAGAGAGAGAGAGAAAGAGAGAGAGAGAGAGAGAGCACTCAAGTCTCAAGACCGAAAGTCCCTGGAAGGGAGAATGGGAGAATGTACTTATTTTATTCTATATGAAGTGATAAATCATAGATAATTTAAACAAGAAACCATATGACTTAATCTACGTGTTAAAAACCATTTTGTCTGTCAGGTACTGATGGCTCATGCCTGTAATTCTAGCTATTCGATTCAAAGCCAGCCCTGGCAGGAAAGTCTATGAGTCTTCTCTTTAATTAACCTCTAGAAAACCAGAAATGACACTGTGGCTCAAAGTGGTAGAGTGCTAGCCTTGAGCAAGGGGCTCAGGGACAGTGCCCAGGCCCTGAGTTCAAGCTCCACAACTGATGAAAGAAAAAAACATATTCTGAAACATTCCATATTTGTCTGTGAAAATGGCCTTGGAGCATTATCTTTAGTTACCTAAGGAGTTTCTACCTTTTTTTTTTTTTTTTTGTCGGCCATAGGTCTTGAACTCTGGGTCTGGAAGCTGTCCTTGAGCTTTTCAGCTCGAGGCTAGTACTCTACCACTTGAGCCACAGCGCCACTTCCAGTTTTCTTGTGGGTTATTGGAGATAAAAGTCTCAAGGACTTTCCTTCCCAGGCTGGTTTTGAACTGTGATCCTCATATCTCAGCCTCCTGATCACAGGATTACAGTATTACAGGCATGAGCCACCTGTGCCCAGTGAGTTTCTACACTTTTAAATAGAGTTTATACTAAAATATTTTTTATTAATTTAAAGAAGATAATGTCTGTGAGAAAGCAGACTTTTTGAGGATTTTCTTGTATGGTCACTTGAGCAATGGCTTTCTTCTGTACTTAGTTTCACTTTCTTCCTTTGTTCTAAAACTCAGACTGACAGCTAGCCTTGACAATCATAGTATCTTTGTCTTCCTGAGGGTGGAATATCTTATAATGCTGTTTCATTTCATACTATGAATGTGTTGCTGAGTTTTTAAACTGTGTGCTAACTGAAGTAAATTATAAGAACTGAGAAACAAACAAACAAAATCCCATCTTGTTTGTGTCACAGATAATTAACATTGTCTCTGCTTTGGTTTTTCTTTATATATCTCTGGAGTATCAGCCTCATAACTAATCTGTTCAGACATCTTAGTGCTACTGGACAAGGTCATCTATAGTGGAAAAAGGTAGGAGCAAAACAGGTGTTTAGGATCGAGACTGGTGGTAGAACAGCCTGCTTCTATGAAAAGCCTTGTGGTAGGCTCTTTGCCAGCCAGCTTTAACCAAATCCCAAGAACTTCCAGAAACAGCATCCAGACCATTGGCTTTTCCATACACAACTGATTACAGCTAGCCTTGTACAGTAGAGGATGACTCCTAAATCTGCTCTCTGTTCCACAGGGGCTTGGGAAAGCTACGGGAAAGTTCTCTTCAAATTAGCCACTGTGCAATATGTATTCTACTTTTTAGGAAATGTAGTAAAGTAAGGAGTGAGGGTTCTAGAAGGCATGGTGGGAAGGCAGGCATCAGCAAAATGGGATGTGATCACGTTGATGAGCTAGATAATACCTCTTTGGATACTTCGTTTTAGCTTGTTACACAGATCCACGCGGGGATTATCTACATTCTCTTCTACAGATCCCGGACTTTGCTCTGGAGAAGAGAGGCCTCTGCTAAGATCCAACGGTACTTTACCAGTGTGTGGCGGTGGGGACGCTGCAGGGCTATGGGTGGTGGTAGGGCTGCTGGAAGATGAGGATGTGGTCAGGTCCAAGGCTCCCATCCTTGAGTTCAAGGGAGAAGTCAAGGACAGCTTTCTGGCCCTCACAGGGGAGGATGTTCTGGACACTGCCAGTGGTGGTGGGGAAGAGAATTTGCGACACAGTCGTGGAGATTTTCCATCCACCAAATGTTCGCCTCTGTTGTTCTGGCTGGTGGCAAAAAACAACTCTAATGACCTAAAAAGAAGAGCAAATGCTGTTAACTAAGCTGATGACCCAGTGACAACAATATCCCAGAGGTCACTGGAGAACATAGTCTCTCCATTTAAAGTCAACGATACAATTACACTTCTACTGTGGGGCTTTCCAATAGTCTGAATGGTCCTTTCTGAAGTTCCTAGATACCCATTAGGAATTGCTTAGACCCTGCTCCTCCACTGCAGTCCCTTCAGGACAAGAAGCACAAGGTTAGCATTTTGGAGGACCTTGTCAGACCTACAGAACTTAGGTCCAACACAGACTCACTGAATTTCCTGCAATTTAACAAGATAGCCCCCTAATGATTCTTTTATATATAACAATCAAAGGCCACTTGAAGACTTCAGGATGCTCAATTTCTTCCCTGGACAATTCTTGTGACCTTTCTTACCACTTCTACTGATGGGGTATTGAAGGTTCAGAGGTGAGTCAATACCCAGGGGTAGACATCTACACGGTGACAGAAAACAGAAAGGCATACCTGACAGGGATGGAGGTAAAAGGCCTCTTGTAGATGTCAGAGAGTTTTGCCAATACCACAGCAGCCGTGGTGAAAATACGGTAAGTGTGCAGGAAGGTGTTGAGGAAATCAATGCTCAAAAACCGCAGGTCAGTCAGTCGTTCCAAGAGGCGCTCCACACTGGCATAGCGGATTTGGGGCACTTTGCAGGAGTTGAGGGTTTTACTGAAGCAGATGTCAGTGTCGTCTTTATGAAGACGGGCATCAGACCTATGTACATGGTAGAAATACATTAACCAACCAGGGAAGAGCACACAGCACATTCATAACTGTGCTCAGATCTGTCAGTATTGTGGGTCTCCCACAATAAATGATCATTATGGTCATTTATTCTCATAATGATCATTCAGGCTCTTCTTGGTCTAGCTACTTTGGATAAAGCTTCTGTGAACATTTTTAAACAATAGCAGGAGATAGCCTTTCTACTATATCATAAATAGCATATAAAATTTTATGTAATTGTGTTTTGTCCTCTAGAAACAGCTATTTCCCAGTTCTACTCAGTGTATTTATTAGTATTTGTTCTTTCAATCATTTATCTCTAACACCTTTCTACAGTTCAGGGTATCTTTCCCTATCTTCTTGAACCAAATGTCTAATTTGTTTATTTCATTCTTCCTGTCTTGCGAAGGTGCTTAAATTTTCTGAATAAAACTTAATAGATAAATTGACATCAATACTCAGTTCATTAAACAATAACAGTAGGTGAAATATGTTCCCCTAAACAATACCTACCACTGCTGGCCTGCAAAACTTGACTTTTATTCATCGGCAAAGGTTCCATCTGGCTGCAGTCCACGCACCCCCCCACCCCTCCACCCCCCCGGCCTTCCCACCATGTGGCTGCTGCATCCTGGATGGATGACTAGGAGCACTGGTAACCTTAGCTACTTTCTGAGATTCCTGTTCACCTGGCCTGAAGCATCACTACAGGTAATCAATGAAACCCTGGATTTCACCACTTAATTAAAGGCTATCTTACAGGATCTATGACTGTCAGTGAGCCAGCGAGCTGTTTTCTAAACATCAGTCAGCTTGTTGTGAGAACCATGAGTTCAATCTTTTAGCATTTTGAGAAATTTCAAATTATATGCTTATTTTCTTTGGCTAACAAAGGAATCAATAGCTTTCTTAGTTTGCTTTTAGAAGATTCCCAGCTCAGAGTTTGCTCAGCACAGACAGAAGTATTGAATTTGCAGCCTGAAAGAGCATTTTCAATGACCAGCCTGACTAAGGGTAGCCTGTGAGCTTTAGTCATTTTATTGATTTTGGAATATACAAACACATCTTTGGAGATTCTTGATAACAGTATGGTTCTTCTACTCTTCATATAACTCTCAACCAACTTTGTTTTTCTGATTCTTAACTTCTTCTCTTGAAAAAATGACCTGAGTAACTTTTTTGAATCCATCAATCCATTCTGAAACATCTGAATGAAATGATCACTTTTTCTCTCACTGTTGACCACCAACAATCTCCATTTTCTAAGAAAGTTAAGGTCAAATGGTTTTAAAAGAAAGAAAGCTTTAACTAGACACCATTTAAATGGATATCATGATTTTGCATTTTGGTTGTACTTTGAGATTCACATAGTTCAGTTATAATTCATTTGTTCAAACTACAGATAAAAATGTTGCAGTCAGTATGAAATTAACTAAAAATGAAATTACACCATTGTCCTTCAAAATTATTATCTCATTTTCATTTTAATAAATGAGATTAAATATTACAAAATTACTTAATAAGATCTTACTTTATTTCCTAAGGGATTCTCAAGAAAGGTAGAATGTGTCACTTAAGCCTCCCAGGATAATAGCAACTCCTTTGTGGTAAACATAAAAAGCAATTGTGAGAGATCAAAAACAAATCATCTTTTGGGATTGACAAATCTGAAAAGGAAGTGAGTGCTTACCAAGTGATGTTATGTCAATAATAAGACATAATTATGCTATGATATTTTTTCTTTTAACTCTAAAAACTGTTTATTCCCCCACCATGGTATGTAGCCATGGAAAGATACAGAAAAAAGCATAGAGAGTTTAGGTTGGAACAGAGATGGTAAAATAATATTCTTTCCTCTGATTGAGGAGCATCAGGCTCAATGAGACTGGGAAAACTAGAAGGAATAAATTCATGGAACTTCACCCTGCCTTAGAAATGTAACTAGTGTAGTCTAGGTATCTTAGTTTTAATCCTTATAGCCCAAAACTGTTAGAAGAATAGCAGTGCCTAGTTATTCAAGTATCAGTGCTGTATACCCAAAGGTAGGAAAGTTTTGTTCTACATAAAAGTGATCAAGCAACTGAGATTGAACATGACATGGGAAAACTGGTATGGTAAGGGAGTAGATACATCTTGGTGCCAGCCACAAAATTAAAATTGGCTTCAGTATTAACAAGATGTATATATACAAGATGGATGGCTTCCTGGAGGTATGGAGATTCTAACTTGTCCATAACCTTCTGACTGATACATTCTAGTTCTTTTATAGACACATAATCTTCAGAGGTTGCTTTCCAAAAAAGAATGAAAATAATATATAGCACTCTGTGAAATGTTTAAAATAAGACTCCTATGGTTAAAAAAATTAATAAGAAAACTCTAATCGAATGGTTAGAATTAAAAAATTAGTCCATAATTTATGCTTTCAGACTGTTTCCTACTTATTCTTAATCTTAGCATTGTACATTTTAAAGTAAGCAAAGAAGCATGCTAAATTAAAAATTTAGAAATCCGAATGTAAAAAAATCTTGGCTCTGAAACTTTAAAAGAACTAGTCTCAAAATACTTTAAATTTTATTTATATTTTCTAGTGTTATGCACTAACATACTCAGTTCTACAAGTTGTACTATTGTTAACATGTCAGAATTGCAAAGTCATCCTTCAAAATGCAATGTTATTTATTTTGTCTCTGCATAAACAGTCCAGACCTCAAAATATTCACACATAAAAGAAGCATGTTCTTAGTTTCAAGTAACTTTTGTTTGAAAAGTTAGAGCCAAATTGCTCTTAAAATACACTTTGCTCTTAAAACTGGGAATGCAAATAACCAAGAAAATGTGGTTAAGGAACAATGCAGTCCATTTCAAAACACTCCCCAAATAATTCTGAATTTGAAAACAAAATAGTGTGGATACAAACACAGAAAGCTCTAGCACATACTTATTGATATAACTTCTTATTCAAAAGTATAGCTTCCCCAATAATCCCTGTAAGCTACAAGATTCTCTTTGTTAGTGTATTTATAGTTCAAGATGGCTGTCTGAAGCAGCCACTTGTCAAAATCAGTTCTAGGCTGTGGTCAGAAAGTATCAGAGCCCAACCATTTTTTTCATTTTTTTAAAAGTGTGTTCAGATCTAAACATTTTTCCACCCAATTCTGAGTAATAGGATTCATACCTACTTGGACTATGCCAAACTACATGAACCACAGCTTGATTCATCCCCTAGCTTTAAACACATCTGTCACTAATTCAATTTTTTTAAATATTGAATTTGAACCTTGTGAATGAGGGTGTATGTGAACATTATGAAAGGCAATTTTTCTATCTTAGAAGATAATAAACAGTGAATCTGAAAAACCATTTTGGTAGTCTTATTATTTATAATGGCACGACATAAACCAATTATCCTATCGCTGCCAAGAAAGATTTTTAATAATAACTCCTACTACAGCAATATTTTATTCAAGGTTTTACATTCTCTGTCAATTTGATCTTGATTGAAATGCAAGGGAAAGGACTTTTACACTTACTTAATCATATGTGGCACAGTAACTTTGGAATTTTCTTCAAACACTATAGTCATTAAGCCATTACAACGTATATTGTCCACACACTGTGAAATTTAAAAAACAAAACAGGCAATTAAAACCCACAGGAAAACTTAAACAGATCCATATATTCCCAGAAAGGTTTACAGCCAAAAATACTCATTTAAAAAAAATTACCACTAAGTAGTTGTAAAAAGGAATTACCATTCAACATAAGTACAAATTTATCTGTGTGTGAGTTGTGCACACACTGCCACCCCACCACCACCGCCAGATAAGTTACATGGAGCTGAGTAGTTTCAGTAACAGTATTCCCAAACTGTGCACCAACCAGAAGCCTGACAAATGCCTGTGAATTGAGACAGGATTGAACTGTCTCAGCATCCCAATTTATACTTTCTGACTGTGCTCGTCTCTGCCATATTCACTTTCTGCCACCAGAGATGGGATGTTGAAATTTGGTCTTGGATGGAATTCAGCTCTTCTCACCAGCCAGCTGTATGCCCACTTCTCAGGTATCTCTTTGCCAATAAATTCCCACATTTTACTAGTGTGTCTAGCAGTTTCTATTGGCACTATGTGGGGCTGGTAAGGGGATAGAGTGTAATTTCTACTGTTTCTGGTGCTTTTAAAGCCCTGACACTATGTTTTTTTCTTTTTTCTAAGAGGAGAACTTAGGTTCTTTTGTTCATTATCTCTTTTCTTTCTTCATATCTATGCCTTAGAAATTTTACATTTTCCTCTACAATTATTTTGGTTAGAGAAGAATTTATTTTGAATTATAATTCATAAAATAAATAAAATAAAACATAAAATTTAAAAAGTAAACAAATTTGGAAATCAGAAGTTGCCTCCAGTTCCCAGGACACTGCATAATACTTTGTGGCTACAACTACTGGTACAGAGAACCTGGAGCCTGAGCTCAGGGCAATCCTAAACCCTGTGTCCACGTACTGTTCAGTCCATCTATTCTATCAATCATTTTCCTAATTGTTTTTCCTTAAAACTGGTTTTACAATATGGCTAAACACATTTAAATTGTAAAAATAAAAGGAACAGAAAGAATAACAGAGGGGGCTTAATATGACCAAAATGCATTTTATATGTACACAAAGAGCATGATACAGTCCATTGTACCTTTAGTTTTGTTTTATTCTGATCCTGGGGCTTGAACTCAGAGCCTGGGCACTGCTCCTAAGCTTCTTTGGTTCAAGGCTAGCATTCTTTTTATTTTATTTTATTATCAAGGTGATGTACAGAGGGGTTACAATTACATAAGTAAGATAGTGATTACATTTCTTGTCTAACTTGTTATTTGTTTCTCCCTCTTTCTTTCCCTCAAGGCTAGCATTCTATCACTTGAATTTCTAGCTTTTGGTTAGTTCATTGGAGATAAGAGTCTCACAGACTTCCCTACCCAGAGTAGCTTCAATTCTGATCCTCAGATCTCAGCTTCCTGAGTAGCTAGGATTACAGGCATGAACCACCAGCACCAGGCTCCCAATATACATTGTTTAAAGATAAAATAAAAATAAAGTTGTTTTTTCACAATTTTTGTGAGGGATAAAGGACCCCAACTTATAAAATTAAAGCCAAATATTTTTAAAGTTCTTCTATCCATTTCCTTAAACCATAGCATAATTTTGAGTTCTGTTTTATATACACATGTATGGTTATTTCATTATAAATTTGATTGTGTGCACTTACATGTGAATTCCATCTGAATCCTACAAGGTAGATTATAAAAATATACTGATAAGACAAAAGTTAGAATCAGAAGAGATTTGGATAAAGGGTGGCAAATGGTAATCCTAGAATGAGGCAGCCACACCCAGTTTATGTTGAAAATATTTCCTGAAAATGAGCCTCAAAATTAGCTGACCTATTGAAAAGCCTCACAAAGGACACTGACTAAGCGACAAAATCCACAGTAGAGCTAAAATTCAGTTAATTCTAGTCTGAGACCAGAGACAAATGTTCTTGTAAAGAAAATATTGAAGGGCTGGGAAGGTGGCTCAGTGGTAGAGCGCTTGCCTTGCACGCATTAGGCCCTGGGTTCGATTCCTCAGCACCACATAAGCAAAAAGGAAAAAGCTGGAAGTGGCGCTGTGTCTCAAGGGGCAGAGTGCTAGCCTTGAGCTGAAGAGCTGAGGGACAGCGCCCAGGCCCAGAGTTCAGGCCCACGACCAGACCCAAAAAAAAGAAGAAAAAAAAAAAAGAAAATATTGAATCATGTAGTAAACAATGTCCTCAACAATAATTTTAGGGTAGCTATAAGTTGTACCAAACTTAAAAAAAAAACAACTAATCATTGGCTGAAAAGAACTATTTCAAATGAACGTTCCCCATGGCGGCCCACAGCGAATGTGATCCAGAGGCCAGTCCTCCTGCTGAGCTGGCTACAAGCACTAGCTCCACATTCTGCACAAAACGGCCCTGGTTGCTCCTCTTCAGGCTGAAGAAATCAATACTGCTTTGTTTATCCTAAGGTCATGTCATTCTTGTGCCTCAGGAAGTTGAAAATGATATTCTCCTCAAAGTCCTGAAGCTGCAGTGTTCTCTGTATGCGCTTAAACATAATTCAGTGTTTCTGCCAGGAAGCTACACTTCCACGAGAGGAGCTATCCTTCTGGGTGAGGGGAAAAAAAAGAAGCCACCCACCTTTACAGGAGAGCTCAGACAGGGTCAGTTGAAATTGTATGTCAGTGGCTCCACAGTGGAAACACACATGAAGGATGCAAAAGATGAGGTTGCCCAGTGCCCATTTACAATGGAAAGAGAGTAAGAAAGAGAACTGAAGAAATAAGCTGAAATCAGGCTATGAAAAAGAGGATCTTGAATTTGGACTTTATCCAGAAGGCAGATGGAAAGTCACTGAAGATTTCGAAGCAGTCCATTTATGTTGGAAGAGCTACACTGGCCTCATGGGAGTATTCATTGTAAAGAAAGAATGAATGAATGGAGGCCCAAAGGATCCAATAAATGAAATAAGCCATGCCTCCTTGTGAGGCAGAGTTTTGAATGAAGAGGAAGAGGCAGAGATCGATATTTTAATGAAAGAAATCTGGTGAGTTGCTGCACAAAACCAAGAGGAAAAAAACAGCAAAAAATCAAAGATGAACATTGTTATAAGGTAACTTAAAATGTTTCTAATGAAAAAAGTCTATCAATATAGATCACTTCATATGACAGACAGACAGGCAAGCAAGTAGGCAGGCAGGCAGACAGGCAGGCAGACAGACAGACAGACAGACAGACAGACAGAATGTTTTTTGAATAACACAGCAGTTAGCTAAAACCAGGTAATCTTTGGATTCCTCAAAAGCACTAAGAAAACACACTCATTATATGACACTAAGGATTTTACTAAGTGCTTGTCTTTTGTTTGTATTTATTAAGCACTAATTATGTGACAATTACTTGTATAAGTGCTGGCAGTTGGGGGACAGGGTAAAAAATATATATGAAAGTGCTTTGAAGAATAATAAGCATGCTGTTATTTCTATTGCTCTCCTCATCACAATGGGAAGAAGATCATTTAAGATACAGAATGGAAGAGATCTTTGTTGGTTTTTTCAGTTCTCTTGCTTCATGAATATAGGAATTCAGAATTTGGAAATCCCAATTCTGGAATGTAAGACATAATGTAGAAAGGCAATAAATGTAGACTGCTATTTTTCATTTTAATGTTTCTACCTTTCATTATGAAATACTTTAAACACATAGAAAAAACATGAGACTTTCACACCAGCCTCCTAGACTTAACACTTTTCCATGTTTGCTATAGGTGATTCTTTTATTTTGAAGGATATAAAACACCACTAACACAGAGTATTTCAATTCCAGTAACCTCTTTTGAATTCAGAATAATTACCATCCTATAGTTGATTATGTCATTACATTCTTCCATTTCTCTGTGTGTGTGTTGAAAGGAGAAAGGAGAGAGTTCCATGCCTTGAACTTGGGGGCTGGATGTTATCCATATGGGATTTTGCTCAAGGCTAGCATTCTACTACTTGAGCTGCACTTCTGGATTTTTGGTGGCTAATTGGAGGTAAGAATATAATTGACTTGCCTGCCTAGGCTAGCTTCAAACCCCAATTCTCAGACCTCAGCCTCCTGAGTTGCTAGGATTACAGGCATGAACCCCTGGTGCCAGGCCCTTTGCTTTATTTTTTATTTTACTTTGTATGCACGTATTTTCCCACTGTAGCACATAATGTTATTTTCATTTTTTAAAATTTATATAAATGGTAATTTGCATGCAACATTGCTTTGAGATTTATTTATGCTTATCTGTATATTTCATTCATTTTAACTGCTATATATCTTATGGCCTAGGACTGTATCTAGGATTGCATCTCTATATATCACTCTGTGAAAAGATCATTACCTTGTAATCCTATTATTTAGTACTTAATCTTCTCATTAGGCATGATTGATGTAGTCTATCTACTTCCAATAACTTTGTAATTTTGATGTCTACAGCATTGATCTTTGGATTACCAGTTTGATTCTTTGACATATTAGCTTTGTCCTTTTAAAAATTCATTCTTTATATTTATATTTATGTGAGCTCATACTGTGAGCTGATTTTCAGAATGTATTTGCATTTGTTTCTTCAAGCTTCTTAAGAATTCATCAATCTAAAAGTCCCTTTTAGGAAGGGGTAACAATGCTCGACAAAAAATGTACTCATTGCCTTACTCATGTAACTGTAACCCCTCTGTACAGCTTCTTTACAATTAAAAAATAAAAATAAAAAGTCCCTTTTATAATAATTTCTCCATTTGGAATGTTCATACTATATGAATATTACAAATCTAATTTTAAATGTATAGGCCAGAGATACATTCAAGTTTTTACATGAGATTCTTTTTAAAATTCATGATCCAAGACAAAATGTCCTTTTTATTTCCTGGTCCAAGGGATGAAATTTTTAAAGTTCTTATTGTACAGAGGTGACAGCCATCCATGATCCAAGCTTTAACCAGGGCTTCTGATTACTTAAACAGTCAAAGGCTATTTTTTGTCCTCTTAAATGTTAAGTATTCTAGGGTTTGGG